ATGTTCATTAATTCACGAGACGGTGTGGAGGGGGTTACCCAGTCACGTGAGAGAGGCTGCCACGCTCGACCACGAGAAGGGCCCGAAATTACAGTCAGTCACGGGTGAACAGCTGCGGGTAACACAAGTCGCTAAGTTACCGGTCACACTAGGACGGGTAAAAACATCCCTCCGGTTTTGCGTTGTAGCGGCACTACCAAAAGATATTATTTTAGGGGTAGACTTCCTCGCTGAAAATCAGGTAGGGATAGATTTTGCAAACTCAGCACTAACCATAGGGAATAGCATAGTACCCATTTATACAGAGTGTGTATGCGGCGCGTTTTTGTCAGTATCTGTAATCCCGAATTTCGCTGGTAACCTTCCTTCGGCCGCGCTTGTAGTTGGATGCGTGTCCCGGCGGACTGTACCCCATTGATCTGACACTCGGGACACGCATCCAACTACAAGCGCGGCCGAAGGAAGGTTACCAGCNCACTGCCAAAAGATATTATTTTAGGGGTAGACTTCCTTGCTGGAAATCAGGTGGGCATAGATTTTTCAAACTCAGCATTAACCATAGGGAATAGTATAGTACCCATCTATACGGAGGGGGGCCAAGGGAGATCGGTACCCACGCTCAAAGTAGCCTACATACGACGCTACAGACATCTCGCGCCAGGCCAAACGGCATGGTGCGAGTGTCAGATTAGTGGGGAACTGTCTGCCGGGACACGCGTCCAACTACAAGCGCGGCCGAAGGAAGGTTATCAGCGAAATACGGGATTACAGATACTGACAAAAACACGGCGCATACACACGAATGGCACGATTAGCTGCCTTCTTAGGAATACAACACGCAAACACATAAAACTGCATCATAAAACCACGTTAACAATCGCACACGTACACGACGACCGCACGCGACCTGGGCGGAGGGCAGCTCAGGGTATCACGCCACGCGTCACTGCTTCAGCAACACGCACGCACACGCCACGCGTCACTGCTTCAGCGACACGCACGCACACGCCACGCGTCACTGCTTCAGCGACACGCACGCACACGCCACGCGTCACTACCTCAGCGACACGCACGCACACGCCACGCGTCACTGCTTCAGCGACACGCACGCACACTGCACGCGGCACGCAGCGCGACAGCTTACGGGGGCCGGCGGTGGCACAAAGCAGGGACCAAACGAGTCTTTGCAACAACATCAAACAGGCACATCAATTACCAGGTCAAGCACTCGCCACACAAACAACAGTCGACTACGCCTCGTTAGTCGCTCACATCACGAACACGTGCCACAGGGAACAATTGCGGGACTTTTTGACGCAGCATAGAGCATCTTTCGCACACACAGACGAGGAACTCGGTTTCACAAATCTTTATGAAATGACAATAGAAACTGGAACCGCAAAGGCATTTAAAACAGCGCCCTACAGAATGGCAATACCGCAACAAGAGGAGGTCGAACGACAGGTCAACCACTTACTCAAAATGGGGTTAATCGAGCCATCAATCTCAGAGTGGAGCTCAGGGGTACTGTTGGTTAAAAAGAAGACAGGAGAGTGGAGGATGTGTATGGATTATAGACGCCTGAACTCAGTCATTCGAGCCGACGCTTTTCCCTTACCCGTTATCGAAGACGTCATGCAAAATTTTGGAAAAGCGAAATTTTTTACCTGCCTCGACCTCCGAAGTGGGTATCACCAGATTCCTTTAGCAAAGAAAGACCAACATAAGTCCGCCTTCGTAACTACACATGGCCTCTGGCAGCGGACCGCAATGCCTTTCGGGATAGCTAGTTGTCCGGGACAGTTTCAAAGAGTCATGAATAGAGTACTGGAAGGATTACAACATAAGTTCGCGATCGCGTATTTGGACGATATAATGATATACAGCGCCACTTTCGAAGAACACATGCAACACCTGCACGAAGTTTTCCGCCGCTGTCGAAACGCGAACCTTAAGTTCAAAGCAACTAAATGTAACTTCCTTAGCGAAAAAGTTCAATATCTGGGGTATATTATCAGCGCAGAAGGTATCGCTACGAATCCAGACAAAACAAAGGCCATTCAAACGTTAGCAGCCCCAACAACAGCGAAAGGCGTTCGCCAGTGGCTCGGTTTGAGCGGTTATTACAGGAAATTTGTTAAAGATTACGCTAAAATAGCACGACCTCTCACGCAGCTCACCCACAAAGGAACACCCTTTGTTTGGACGGACGAAGCAGAACAGGCGTTCCGAGCACTCAAGGCAGCCCTCATTAACCCACCCATCCTAGCGCTGGCCGACCCGAGCCGACCGTATACACTCTATTGTGATGCCTCGGGGTATGCACTGGGTGCAGTACTGACGCAGACAGATGACCAGGGCCGCGAGAGAGCCATTACGTATATTAGTAAGCAGTTCACGGACACAGAAACACGTTGGCCGATATGCGAAAAAGAATGTTATTCTCTCGTGTACAGCGTGGGACGACTGAAGCATTTTCTATATGGGGGGCAATGTCACGTCGTCACTGACCATCGCCCGCTGAAATTCATTTTAGAAGCCAAAACCTTACGAAATGCCAAGTTACAACGCTGGGCATTGACGCTATCCCAGTTCAACCTAACGCTAGCATTCAGACCCGGAGCCGCGAACACGCAGGCAGACGCGCTCAGCCGTTTAATGCCTGAGGGACAACTCGCACTTTCACACGACGCATCCACACAAACAGGACACACCCCACCACCACCACCACCACCATCTACCGTCGCACACATTCACGTCAGCCCAGTGACGCGGCACACCGCCGAGACCGCGGCCATAAACTTGCCAGCAGAGATTACAATGGACGGGTTTAGAGACATGCAGAACAACGATCCATTTCTGACACGCGTCAGGCAGGCGCTGACAGCAGACACATGCACCTTACGCGACGCGCGGGTTGTCGCCGACTATTATATGGATGACGGATTAGTATTCCACGTCAGCACGGACAAGCTTGAATGCGGCTCGCAATTAGAACTCCCACGCAGCCTAATTACCAAGGTCATGCCACTGTTTCACGACCATGCTTACTCGGGGCATTTAGGCTTTTCGAAAACTCTCTCACGGATCCAACAACGCTATCATTGGCCGCGTATGTTCTCCGACGTATACGAATATGTCAAGTCATGCGTAACCTGTGCAGCACGAAAAATGCAGAGGCTCCGCGCACCGATGCAGCACGCCCCCCAAACCACACATGCTTGTCAAGTAGTGGCCATTGACATAATGGGCCCATTACCGCTAACAAATAGGTCTAACCGGTATTGTCTGACTTTCATTGACTTGTTTACGGCATGGCCGGAGGCCTACGCAATCCCACTCCGCTCAGCCGAGGTCGTTGCGGGGATCATTGTCAACAAGTTCATTCCACGCCACGGCTGCCCAGAAATGTTCTTAACCGATAACGGCAAAGAATTCTGCAACTCGCTAATGACACAATTAGGCAAGGAACTGGGAATCAAACACGTCAAAACAGCGCCTTACCACCCCGCTTCTAACGGGATAGTCGAACGGTTTCACAGGACACTCAATAATTTGATTTCGTGTTACATAAATGCCGACCATTCCTCGTGGGACATGAAGCTGGGAGCCTTGTTGTTCGCATATAGAAGCTCGGTACACGGGACTAGCGGGTATACACCCTTCCTCCTACATCATGGGAGAGAAGCGAGGTTACCACTGGACGTGCTCCTTCACCCCCGCCGGGTACAGTACGCAGATGACCCGATAGCACAGGCGACAGAGAGACTATACCACGCATGGACAAACATACACAACAACACACGATTAACAAGAGAGAAAGACAAGAACGTATATGATAAACGGGCAAAAGACCAGGGGTTTATGGTAGGCGACTCGGTCTACTGGTACAGCCCCGTATTACGCCCAGGCGAAACCGCCAAGTTACACTCTGCATGGCGCCCATTTTACGTCATCGTAGAACAGATCACGCCACTGGTAGTTAAGATCAAACGACAGGACCAGACGACCGCACACAAGGTACACATAGATAACCTCAAAATAGCCTACCCCGCAGACGCATGGACAAAACCACTGAACCGCATAGCCACGCAGATCAAACACACGACACATACAGCACGGGACGTACATCCCAGGCGCGCGAAAATGATACACGGCGGGCAAGTACACAACGCACCACCTAACGCTAACGAGGTTGACGACGAGGTTGACGACGAAGAATGGGACGAGGATGATTTACGACCACTGGCGCATCTAGCGGGTTTATAGCTTAGCACACAGGCCATTTAGAAACAGGGTCGTAAACCCTATGAATAAGTCGTATTCCTGTTGTTTCCAGAATGAGGCCTCACATCTGGCTGATACTGGTGCTCCCACTACTCGTGACGGGAGAAACAGGAAACGAGATACGCCAACAGGAGGCAGGGGTTTTGTTCGTGCAGAGGGGCCGAATTGCAATAACTCAATCAACTTGGGCTATAAGTTTATCTTTAAATCTATCAGCGATGGATGACTACATGGACACGTTAAGAAGACAATTACTACTGTTGACAGAGATAAAATTACCGGGGAGCGACATCGACAAAGGCAACGGACGGGTGAATTTACACGACCGACTCCCATTCCCCGACCAACGCGACATATTAGACTACGCGGATGTACAGGCGAAACGGGCTTCAGTGCAGATAGCAGATAGCGCTTATAGAATGTTTCAAGTACAGTTAGGATGGTTTACGGAACGCATGAATGCGCTCGAACGAAAGATGGATAATTTACACGCACTTCACCACACACGTAGAACGCGCTCAATCTTTTCCGGCATAGGCAAGCTTAGTAANCCTACACCTGGCTGATACTGGTGCTCCCACTACTCGTGACGGGAGAAACAGAAAACGAGATACGTCAACAGGAGGCTGGGGTTTTATTCGTGCAGAGGGGGCGAATTGCAATAACTCAATCAACTTGGGCGATAAGTCTAAGTTTAAATTTATCAGCGATGGATGACTACATGGACACGTTAAGAAGACAATTACTACTGTTGACAGAGATCAAACTGCCGGGGGGTGACATCGACAAAGGCAACGGACGGGTGAATCTACGTGACAGGCTCCCATTCCCCGACCAACGCGACATTTTAGACTACGCAGATGTACAGGCGAAACGGGCTTCAGTACAGATAGCTGACAGCGCGTATAGAATGTTTCAAGTACAGTTAGGATGGTTTACGGAACGCATGAATGCTCTCGAACGAAAGATGGATAATTTACACGCACTTCACCACACACGTAGAACGCGCTCGATCTTTTCCGGCATAGGCAAGCTCAGTAAATTTTTATTCGGCACAGCGACAGACGACGACGTCCAACAACTACAACAAAACATAGCAGCCATGCAAATATCCCAGACACAAACCCACCACATCATCGACCAGGCACTCACCGTCATTAACTATACTAAAATCCATACACAAATGAACACCCAAATTTTGAGAGACGTCATACGGGACACAAAAAAGGTCGCAACAGCCGTAGAAACAGTCACAAGACAGGTTTATGAATGGAGAACAGCGGCAGCTCACGAGTCAATGATGATCTCACGGCTACAGGTAGCGCTAACTGGTTTACAGCTCGCCTTTGCTCATGCTAGAGATCAAATCGATGCTATACAACGATATGTCAACATACTACTCACAGGTCGGTTACCCCCCACACTTGTCCCCCCAACGCAGCTTAGTGAAATCCTAGCCGCCATCCAGGAATCCCTCCCGGATACAGTTACACTCCCGTACCCATACAGCACTCAATTATTACGCTATTATGACATGATAACAGCTGTGGTCGTACCGACACCAGACGCGTTGCACGTGCTGGCCTTCATATCACTGTCTTACCGAGATATGGATTTTCGCATTTACGAGATAATAACACCACCAGTGTTTCTACCCAATAGTACAAGTACAAAAACAGGTCTCACCAGCCAGACAGCCGCATATTACGAGACGGACAATAGGTATATCGGGATTAGTCTAGACCGATCGGTATACATATACCCGGACGCACTGAGACTACAATCATGCTTACGACAACACCGCGTAATCTGCGACGTATACTCTCCTATCTTTCCGGCAACAGCAATAAATTCATGCGCAATCGCTTTGTATCAGAACGACGTTAATCAAATTCAAACATTGTGTCACAAGCGTGTTGTTTTCTATCGGAAACCCGACCCACAGGCCAGGTATATAGCGAACGGTAAATGGCTAATCTCCGCGCCAGCGCCGTTTAAAATTGTTATATCATGTCAAGCACATTCTACGGCGCAAATCAAAGTCACAGAACTAACCATAGAGAGACAAAAGCTCATTCAATTACGGTCGGGTTGCAAGGCAGATGCGGCAGCTTTTACGTTACCCCCATATTTTTTTCACGAAACC